CCCCTCCCAGCCCTGCCATCCCCTCTTCTCAGGCCCCTCCCAGCCCTAACATCCCCTGTTCTAAGCTCCCTCCCAGCCCTGACACCCCCTGTTCTAAGCTCCCTCCCAGCCCTGCCACCCCTGTTCTAGGTTCCCTTAGAGCCCTGCTGCTCTACGAGTCTACCATTGGGGGGGGGGTTATCAAATTCTTGAGCCTGAGCCTGTTGGGCCAGGGAAGCTCACGCTTCTGGACTGTGACAGAAATAGCGGTTACAAGGGACCCTTCTAGTCCAAGGAATCCAGAAACCAGGACGGAGGAGGGGCCAGAGTCGCGGCGCGGGCCAGGCCCTCACCTTCTGGGTGGATGGTGTCGATACTGCGATCCCCATGCCCGATCCGGGGAGGACAGAGAGGACTTTGTACTGCAGGACACAGAGCACCCCGTGAGTGTGCTGGGCCCCAACACACAGACCCCCCAGGGCTCCTTCCAGGGCCCCGCCCCGGACCACGCAGTCACTGCAACCAAGGCAGTGATGGTGGCAGGGCCTGGGGGCCTGGGAGAGGACAGAGACAGGATAAACCCTCCCTCCATCCAGACCCTTCTGCCTGCGGCTGCAGGCGGTGCACTGATTCCCCCATCAGAGGAGAAGCTCCTTGGGGGCAGGAAGAGCAGAGCCAGGGACATTAGGAGGGGGCCTAGGGGACGTCCGGGCAGAGGGGTGGGGGGAGAGCGCAGGGCTGAGAGGCGCCTGCATCGCCGCGGGAAGCTGGCCCATGGGAGCTGCGGGGGCGTCGCTGAGAGCCGTAGGGAGAGTAGGGGGCCTTGGAGAGGGCCAAGGGCCCCCAGAGAAATGGGGTGTGTGCCGTGTGCGAAGGGGCCCGAGGTGGGGGGCTGGAGGAAGGAGGACGAGCCGCAGAGAGACTGCGCGTCCACCAGGAGAGACGGGGCTGAGTGCTCGATGGGGGCAGAAGCCCGAGCGCAAAGAGCCGAGAAGGGAGTGAGAGGAGAAACTGAGGCAATGAGGACAGAGGGCTGGGAGAAAGAAGGGAGGAGAGACGAGGCCGGTCATCGGAGAGGACGGCAGGCCCGGGGCCTCCTTGGGAAAGGGGGGACACCCTCACCGCACACGGCCTCCACTCCCTGGGAACTTCTGAAGGAGCCCTTCCAGGAGACCGGGTGGAAGGAGAGCAGAGCCCAGGGGCCGGCCCGCCCCGCCCCCTTCCTCCTCTCAGTCCTCAGGGAGGAGGCCACCCTCCAATGGCCAAGCCCCGGCCCCGCCCCCAACGCCGGGGCAGACGGACAGACAGACGCACCTTCTGAATGTCCGTGATGTCCATGAGCTTAATGACCTTGTTCCTCTTGGAGGAGCCGGACTTGGAGCTCTCGAAGCACAAATAACTGCAAGGGAAGAGAGAAGGTGGAGGAGACCCCCGGAAGATGAGGAGTAGAAGCTCCTCCGCCTGGCCTCCACCTGCCCCCGGCCTGCTTGTTTCCTCGGCGGCAGCCTCTTCCCAGAAGCCCTCTTGCATTCCCCCATCCCAGAAAGGTCAGCTCCCATTGCCATGGGTGTTTTTGTTTTCTCCTTCCAGGCTTCAGCTCCCTTCCTAGAATGTCAGCAGCCTGAGGGCAGGGCAATGGAAGCCAGAAATCCTAGCTCTGGAACCTCAGGCCTGCATCTTCCCCTCTCTGAGACTCAGTTTTCTCATCTGTGAAATGGGGATAATGATGCCCGCCTTCAGCTCTGGAGTCGGAAGACCTGGGTTCAAAGCCTACCTCACACTAGCTGTGTGACCCTGGGTAAGTCCCTTAACCTCTGCCGACGGGGATCATAAGGACATCTGCCCCCCAGGGTAGCTGTGAACGCTTGGTAAGACTTGCAGTAACAGGGAAAGAAGACCGGTTATCCCTCCGCTTCCCAGTGCGGTTCATGCCCTTGGGCCTCGGGCTGGGCATCTACAGCGAGGTGACACAGCTGGTGCCTGCCTGGGCCTGGGGCGTGGCCTGGGCCTGGACAGCGGTGCTCAGATGTGACTCACTCTGCCTCACCAGCCCGGCTTCCTTCATCAGCCTTTGCAAACCGTGATCCTGAGAAGGGCCCCGGGCCCGGTGCTCGGCCCCCTGGCCCGCTGACCTCATGGGCTTCTGTGGAGCAGGGACCCAGCACGAGGCACGGCAAAGGTGCCCAACAAAAGGAGCCTTCTCTCGCCTCGAGCCTCCATCCCCACGTCAGAAACGTTGAAGGCAGCCGGATGGCAGCCCAGCCAAGGGGTGAGCACAGGCCGGCGGCCCCAACCCCCTCCGCGCTCTCCCCCTGCCCACTCGGCAGGGTGGGGGATTCCTGTGGGGTTTCTCCTGCCCGGGCTCTCCCCGCGCCGGGGCAGAGGCAGCGCAGTGCCCGCCAGGGGATGGACCCTGGACGTGCAGCCAGAAGAGAGCGGCCTCTGGGCCCCCCACGGAGCAGGGCAGCTTCAGCCTGGGCATGAGCCCGGACCCCTCACTCCTGCGCTCCCCCAGCTCCAGGGGCGCCCACCTGACATTCAAGGCTCCAGACGGGGAGTGCTCAGCCCCGTTGTTTCCCGGACCCCTTGGGTAAGTTGAGGGAACCCACAGACTCTGTCCCTGGATGGATCAATGGATCATGGCGGAGAAGACTAACGAGGGAAACCCCGTTCAGTGGGACACAGCTATGGAACGTTTCATAGAACCCCCCAAGGTCCTGGGAGTCAGGTTAGGACCCCCGAACTGATTGCGCCGTGCCCGAGCCGCCCTCGGCCGTCCCAGTGGCACCCGGCTCCCCCCGCTCCAAGGCTGCCTTCTCCAGGCAGCCCTGCCCGCCCCACCGCATGCCCGCGTCGGAGGGTGTGTCAACCGCCTCACCACCAGGGGCAGGGCAGGGCAGGGCGGAGCAGGGCTGGCGTCTCCCCTGTGCCTGGCCCAGGGCTTTCCCAGCAGGCATGTGCGCCAGACCCATCCGCCGACGTGGCCGAGGGACACTCACTTCTCCGTCACGTACAGCACTCCGTTGCGGATGTAGTCTGTCGGCATCTTGCGGTCCCTGTTGATCAGGCAACATCGCCAGCCGTTTTCACACACTGTCGAGGAAGCAGAGCGGTGCTCAGTCCCGCCGCCGTCCAGGAGGTGCCTACTATGTGCTAAGCACCCTACTGAGCGGCGGGGAGCCCCAGTCCTTGGTGGCCGAGAGGGAAGAGCAGCGAGGGACTCCACTTCAAAATGACGGGCGACTCACTTCCCCTCTCTGGCCTCAGTTTCCTCATTGGCCCAGTGAGGATGCTGGACTGGGTCACCTCGAGGCGTCCTCAGAGGCCCGGGCCCTGTGACCCCTGGAGCCAGCCAGGGCGCCTCGGGAACGGAGCCCTGCGATCAGGCCACGGCTAAGACCTGGCGGTCACAGAGGGACAGCACCAACGTGGGCACCTGCAGCGCTGGGGGACGGCGATATTGATGTAGGAGAGGGGCCGAGGCCTCTGAGGCAAAGCTAAGTCCCTGCGCTGGCCTCCTCTGGGACTGGCCTCCTCCCTGCGCTGGCCTCCTCCTGGACTGGCCTCCTCCCTCGACTGGCCTCCTCCCTCGACTGGCCTCCTCCCTATACTGGCCTCCTCCCTGCACTGGCCTCCTCCTGGACTGGCCTCCTCCCTCGACTGGCCTCCTCCCTAGATGGCCTCCTCCCTGGACTGGCCTCCTCCCTACACTGGCCTCCTCCCTGGACTGGCCTCCTCCCTGCATTGGCCTCCTCCCTGCGCTGGCCTCCTCCCTGGACTGGCCTCCTCCCTGCGCTGGCCTCCTCCTGGACTGGCCTCCCTGCGCTGGCCTCCTCCCTGCATGGGCCTCCTCCCTAGATGGCCTCCTCCCTGGGCGGGCCTTGCTCTTCCCCCTCTGGCCGTGTCTGCACCCACTGACACCCAAACCGCTCTGTCCCTGGAAGGTGAAGGACCGCAGAGGGAAGTACCCGCCAGGGGCCGCTCATTTTCCGTCAAGTTAAAGATTTCATGGAAATTTCCCTTTTTGGTCCCGTGAAAGCGCCCGGTGTCTTCGTCTCTGCTCACGCCTGCTGGAGCGCTGGCGCCCACGTAGCTCCTGGAGGACGTGGTCTGGAGCTGTAAAGAAGGCAACAGGGCGCTCCATCAACGACAGTCACTCCCCAGGTCCCAGTCTCTCCCCCACCGCATGCTTCTGAGGCTCTTGTGGAGGGACCCCAGAGTCTCCAAGGCTGTGCCCACGCAGGGTCCGACAGGCCCCTGGGACGGTCAGCGATGGATGCCCTGCCCACGTGGGTCCATCCCCAAGGGGCTGCCCACAGATCTCGAGATCACACAGGGTCCCCTCTGCCACAGGCCATAGTGGCCAGAACGTGCCGGGCAGGATGAGGCGAGATCCTCCCCGCCCCGCCCCCGGCCGGCCACATCTCCGAGCTGTCTGTCCTGGCCCTGCCCAGCAGGGAGGGAGAGTCTGGAGTTGGCTCTGTTTTGGCCGACACGTGCACGGCCCCAGGTCGGCCCCGGCGGCATCTGCCAGCGCGGGGGAGTGCCAAGTTTAGCTTTGGGGCATTGAACGCCAGCTGCGCGGTGACGGACAAGCCGTGAGCAGTGTTGAGGGAGAGAGAGGAGAGGAGGGGGAGAACGGCCGAGGCCCACACTCGGGTCCCTACCTTGTCAAGCCCTGACAGCTGGCGGGAAGGAAACAGATACGTGGTGACACTGACGAGCAGAGAGAGGGACGACGCTTTCACGGCCGCCAGGACCGGGAGCCCCATGGGCCCCAGGAGCGCACACGGCGGGCTGGCGGGGAGGTGGGCTGATGAGCCCGGCCCTATCTGGGGGCTGACGGGCCGCTCTGGGAGCTCCCACAAACCACTCTCTCAGTTAGAGGGTTCCCTGGAGCATTAATGTGGGGGCCTCCGGCTCTCCAACGCCTCTCGGTCTGGGACATAGGAAGCCCCAGATCTCTGAGAAGGCAGCTGCGGTGGAGGAAAGGGCCGTGGCGCCCGGGTGTCACGGCCTAGGTCTGGCTCACAGATCACAGACTTAAAAAAAGGGCTGGGTCCCAGGGATCACATGTGGCCTTTGCATTTTATAAAGGAGGACCTTCGGCATTTTACAAATGAGGAAACTGAGGCAATGGGCATGATAACCCTTGTCCCTCCCTGGGTGGAGGATAATCTTGCTGCAGGAGAAGATACAAAGGTCAGGGACGCGGGGCTCCAGGCCGCGGACAGCCCTGGGTCTCCCAGGAGGCCTCCTGCCTCCCGCTGCTCGCTAATGGGGGCTCAGAAGGCGCCAGGTGGCGGGGCTGTGCCCAGAGGCCCCGACCTCCTCCTCCTCCTCTACAGCTGGCTGGCCGTACACCCGGGAGGGCCTTCGGGGCTGCACGGCGTAGGGGGAGGCTGACTGCCCCGGGCCCAGGCCACGCAAGGCTGGAGAAGCCGTGGCTCCCTCCCACTTGTGACTTTCTGTCACCTGTGCCCAATGGGAGGCCCCTGAGCCTGGACCGGGTGCGGCCTCGAGGTCCTCAAGTGTGGCCCTTTGACTGAGTCCAGACTGCACAGAACAAATCTCCTTCACAGAAGGATTTGTTTTGTAAAACTTGGACTCAGTCAGAAGGCCACACCCGAGGACCTAGAGGGCCACGTGTGGCCTCAAGGCCGCGGGTTCCCCACCCCTGGACCGGACTGACAAGAAGGGTCTGAGTCCCTGCTCTGCTCTAAGGGCTATCTCTGCATCCTTGGGCAAATCGCCCCAGGTCCCCAGCCTCAGTTTCCACTCCTGTAAAACAGGGAGAAGACTCCTGCCCCCCCTGCTACCCCGCCAGGGGAGCCGCTCACGTCCACAAAGTGCTTCGTAAGCCATACGTGTAGATGGCGATGTGAGCGCTGGCCGTCACCCCTAGGGTCCGAGCAACGTCATCTCCCGAGCCGCCAGCCCGACTCCCGAGGGGAGGGGGGCTCCCCCAGGCCGCCCGTACTCACGCACCCTCCTGGTCACGGTGGCGGCCGAGCGCTCCTTCAGCTGGGGGTCCGTGGGCAGGTTGGTCCAGATGATGTAGGGGGTGTCGTACTTGGCTCGGAGACGGGGGCAGCGTTTGAAGATGAAGTCGATGAGGAAAAACTTGATACCCGCGTAGAGGCCTGGAAAGGTCAGAGAGGCAGCAGTCAGCGGGGCTCAGTGTGGAATCCGGCCCATGGGGCACGGCACCCTCCTGCGGCCTCACGGTCACCTTCGGGAGGAATGGAGTCTGCTGCTCTGAAGTCCGTCCAGCTGGGGCAGCAGGGGCGTGTGTATGCTTATGTGTGCACGCACACGTGTGTGAGCGCAAGCGTGTGCACATCTGAGTGTGTGCATGCGTGCATGAGCGTATGCATGTACTGTGTGTGCATGTGTGTGCATGTCTTAGCACCATGCCTGGCACATAGCAGACACTTAACAACTTTTATTGATTGACCAAAAGGAAAAGAAAAAGCCCTCAGCATCACCCCCATGAGCAGGCTAGAGAGAGCCAACTTTCTCATCTGAGAAATGGGGCTGCAAACATGACAAAACAGGAAAATGATAAATGTTGGAGAAAATGTGGGAAAATTGGAACACTAATGCATTGTTGGTGGAGTTGTGAAATGATCCAACCATTCTGGAGAGCAATTTGGAACTATGCCCAAAGGGCTATAAAAATGTGTATACCCTTTGACCCAACAATAGCACTTCTAGGGCTCTATCCCAAAGAGATCACACAAATGGGAAAAGGACCCACATGTGCAAAAATATTCATAGCAGCTCTTTTTGTGGTGGCAAAGAACTGGAAATTGAGAGGATGCCCATCCACTGGAGAATGGCTGAGCAAACTGTGGTATACAAATGTGATGGAATACTATTGTGCTACAAGAAATGATGAGCAGGCAGACTTCAGAAAAACCTGGAAAGACTTTGCATGAACTGATGCTGAGTGAAGTGAGCAGAACCAGAAGAATGTTGTACACAGTAACAGCCACGTTGTGTGAAGACTAATACTGATAAACTTAACCCTTCCCAGCAATGCAAGGATCTAAGACATCTCCAGAGGCCTCATGATGGAAAATGCTATCCACACCCAAAGAAAGAACTATGCAAGCTGAACTGCTATTTTTTTTCTCTTCCGCTGAGTTTTATTTCCTCTTTCTGATGGTTCCTCCTATTGGTTTTAATTTTTACTTACATCACTAATGTGAAAATATGTTTAATATGAATGTAAATGTCTGGCCTATATCAGATTGTGCACCGTCTTGGGGAGGGTGGTGGGGAGGAAGGGGGAGAAAAATTTTAAACTCAAAAGCTTATGGAAGTGATTATTGATAAATCAAAATAAATTAATAAAAAAAAAGAAAAAAAGAAAAAGAAAAGAAATGGGGCTGCAGCACCACAGGGTGGGAGGGAGGGCGGCGTGCCCTTCTACCTGGTGCTGTACGGCCCGCAACAAAGAAACTCGGCAGAGCCCTGGGGCCCCAGCCGTGCCCCGCAGCTCTGAACAGCAGTGACCCCCAGGCTGCAGCCAGGCCTCGGCTCTCCACTGCCAGGCCCTGCCTCCATTCCAGCGGCCCTTTGGGGAGAGGGAGCCTCGACTTACCCATCATGAGCCCCACGATCCTGTAGGGGAAGAAGCAGGAGGCGAGGAACGCTGCCCACAGCGCGATGTAGAGCTTCTGGGTGATTTCTGGCTGGACCCACATGAACAAGCTAGCGGGGGAGGAGAGGGAGCCTGAAGCGTCTAGGCGGCCCCTCCTCCCCCCTCCCTCCGTGATCCTCCCTCTGCCCTCCCCCCTCCGTGGTCCTTCCCCCTCCCTCCTCCCTCACACTCACTTCTTAATCTTCTCCAAGATGTCGGCCATCTTCCCAAACAGATTCTAGAAATCAAGAACAGGAAGGAGTTGTGTTTTAGCAGCCACCAAAATGGCGAGGAAGCTGGGAGGGGCTCCTTAGCAACTGGTGTCACCAATCGATGCCCCCGACTCTCCCAGGATCGTCGAGAGCCTCCCATCCCGCAGAAACGGCCTGGCGAGTTCAGGATTACTCGTGGTGACCGGTCAGATGCGCCGGGAGCCTCCCGGCTATGAGGCGGGGACCCGGGAGCATTGGAGATACATACAAATTCTGCCAAGAGAGGCCTGTCCTAAGCGGGTCAGAAACGTGGGTCCAAGAGCGTGGGAAGGGCCCTTGCCAGCCTCTGCTGTAAAACCCGGGGGGGTGAGCTCAGTGCGCGGGGGCCCTTCCGGCTCCTCAGGGCGGTGCGATGTCCCCAGCGCCCAGCACGCGGCAGATGCCGTGTACAGATGAGGAGACCGCGGCAGACACAGGCTGAGTGACTTCTCAGAGGACAGATCTGAGCTCGGGGCTTCCGGACTCCAGGTCCAGAGCGCTAGCCACTGCACCCCCTGGCTCTCTGAGGCTCAGTTTCCCCATCCTGAAAAGCCAGGATTCTCCTCTTTGTGCCACTTGGGAGAAGCCAACTACGAGCCGTAAACGCCCAGCCGCTAGACGTGGGGGACGGCGGTCATCGAGGCCGTCCGGCACCTCTCTGGTTCACATCTGCTCTTGGACTGCCACAATTATGAGAAGGAAGCACGCCCAGAGGAGGCCGGGAGGCCCGTGCAGGCTGATGGCGGAACCAAGGTCAGAGGCCCCGCCGGACCCCCTTCTACCACCCTCCTGTCCTTAGTGGCAGAGACCAAGCGAGGCGGGGTACCTGGGCCTTCTGGGCCACGTCCAGCACGAGCTGAAACTTCTCTGACACCGTCAAGTCTTCCTTGGGAGGCTCCTGAAGGCGCGACGGGGCGATGGAGGGGGAAGAGACAGAGGGAGGGAGGGACAACGGGGCTGGTGAGTCGGTGACCTTCCAGGATGAGCAGGCTGCCCTGCTGAGTCACCACTGCCCTCATTACCCTGACTCTCCCTTAGAGAAAGCAGGTCACATTATTGGGCTGCTCAGAGATCTTCAGGGGCTCATTACTGCCCCCTGAGAAGAGGCCAAACTCTGCCCTCCCCTGTTCTCAGGCCCCTCCCAGCCCTGACCTCCCCGTGCTCAGGCCCCTCCCAGCCCTGCCCTCCCCTGTTCTCAAGCCCCTCCCAGCCTTGACATGCCCTGTGCTCAGGCCCCTCTCAGCCCTGCCCTCCCCTGTGCTCAGGCCCCTCCCAGCCCTGACCTCCCCTGTGCTCAGGCCCCTCCCAGCCCTGCCCTCCCCTGTTCTCAGGCCCCTCCCAGCCCTGACCTCCCCTGTGCTCAGGCCCCCCCCAGCCCTGACATCCCAAGCCCCTTCCAGCTCTGACATTCCCTGTTCTAAGCATGTTCTGAGGCCCCTCCCAGCTCTGATCTAATATGACTCCACCCACAGTTACAGGGGCATTGAAGGGGTGATTCTCCAGGACACAGGACAGCGCCCATGTCTGCAGCGGCCAGGCAGGGCTGAGCCAGCCGGGCCCAGGCAAGGATGGCCGTCACTCGGGAACTCACCGCCACCTCGGAAACTTCAGGCACGATGCTCCACTGGATCCGCCAGCCCCTTCCAAGACAACAAAGGAAAAGCCGTGAGCGTCAGAGCCGGCACCACCCCGCGGTCGAGGTGATACCAACACCCTGAGTGTTCTAATCTGGAAGAAGGACACCCTGGTGGAGGCCTCCCCTGGTCTGGCCTCAGTGTCCTCATCTGTCAAATGGACCTCTGAGGTCGACCCTATCTGCTCTCTCTGTCCCCTTCCCAGCACTGACATCCCGTATTCTAAGCCCTCTTCCAGCTCTGAGCGTCTCTCTTCTGTCACAGGCTATGGTAGAAGGCCCTTCCTGGCTTTGACATTCCAGGCTTCTCGGAATCCATGAGCCTGGCCAGGACCAAGACCCCTTCTGAATTCTAGAGATCTAAACTCCCGTGTACTGGGCAGGTCGGACGAGGTGGTCTTGGCCGTCCCTCTTAGCCCGGAAAATGCTGAGATTCTTATCTAAGACTCAAGGCACCCGACGGCTTCCTCTGCCCGAAACCCTGACCCACCTCCTGCCCCGTCCCGGGCCCAAGCTCCTTCCTGTCCGTCCCCAAGGTCAAGGAGCCCTGGGCTGGCTCAGAAGGAGCCTGACCGGAACGCAGGCCCCGGGGCTTCCAAAGCCATTCATTATTGTTACAACGACCCCACGGGGCTGGGAGAAGCCAGACGGGCAGGACCCAGTGTCCAGCCCTGGGACAGGGATCTCTGCTGCTGCCCAGAGTCACAAACGAAGCCAGTGTCAGAGTCTCAAGTTGCAGGCTCAGATCCCTTCTCTGGCCCTGACCTGTCCCCCGCCTCTCTGGGCCTCCATTCCCTCATCTGTAAAATGGCCTCATGATCCCCCCATGAGCTACCTCACAGAGTCACTGCAAGCTGAGTGCCCTGGGGGCCCCACGGAGGAGGGAAGGGCTGGTGGGGTGAGCACTGCTGCTGTCCTGGGACGGCCTCCCCAGAGCACTGGGAACCTTTCTGCCGGGCCTGGCCCGGGGGCAGTTTCTGGACCGGATGGCTTGGTCACTTGGGTTAATGCTGACACAATTCACTGGCTGGAGATGCCTGGGCTGGGGAAGGGAAAGCCGGGGCAATGAGCCACAGCGGGACTACCTGGCAATGAGGTAATTGAGTGACAGCCTCAGGATGGCTAAAAACAAGAACATGGGGATGGCCCAGCCGTGCCACACGGCATTCATGTAGACCTGCGGAGAAAGCACAGGAGACACGGCGGTTACGGGCCTGCCGGGGGCACGGGGGGCCTGGCTGCTGTCAGGGCAGAGGGGTGGGAGGCCGGGGGCTCCGTCCCAGAGCTGTGGCGAGAGCCCACGGGGCCGTGCGGCTGGGGCCCTCCTCGACCCCCACCGGGGCCCCAGCGAAGCAAGAGCCCCTGGCTACGTATCAGACGCACCGGGAGCCAGAGAAGAAGGGACCGACTGCCCACCACCTCCCAGGCCTGGGCGAGATGCTACCCCAAAGGCAGCCAAGAAAGGGACCCTGCCTGTCCTGAAGGAGCTGATGGGGAAGCAAGATGGAGATATGGAGCCCAGGACAATGACCGAATGTCACAGCTGGGAGGGGCCCTAGAACAGGGGGACGTCAGAGCCGGGAGGGAACCTAGAACAGGGGGTGTCAGAGCCGAGAGAGAACCTAGAACAGGGGTTGTCAGAGCCGAGAGATAACCTAGAACAGGCGTTGTCAGAGCTGAGAGGGAACCTAGAACCAGGAGGATGTCAGAGCTGGGAGGGGCCCTAGAACAGGGGGTGTCAGAGCTGGGAGGGAACCTAGAACCGGGAGTGTCAGAGGTAGGAGAGAACATAGAACAGAGGGTGAGAGAGAGCTGAGAGGGAACCTAGAACAGGGGAAGTCAGAGCTGGGAGGGGCCCTAGAACAGGAGTCAGGCCTTCCTGGGCTTTGCCACCCAACATGTCTCTGGCCTCATTGGTGCATGCCCCTGGAAGGCAGCAAACATTAGCTCATTAACTTTTTAAGCAGCAGAGCCTCTAAGGTCATGTTCTCGTTAAGGAACACGACTCCATTCCCTCAGGAGATGACATGCTTGTGTTCCTCATAGAGTTTCTAATTTCCCTGAAATGCAGAGCAGGAAGGCCAGGGATGGCTTGCCTCTGGGGTCTGGGGGCAGGGCCCGGAATGAAGAGCGAGCCAACAGCCCAGGGCCGTCAGTGTGACTCGGGCATCCCCTGACTCCCGCTGTGCTGCTCCGAGGGGCCCCCAGTAAGCCTGGAGACAGACCCCACCCTTGTTTCCAAGTGTCCCCCCTCGTGAAGGCCTGTTAGGGAGGCGAGGGCTCACACTTCCTCTGCAGAGCACAAGTTTCGGGGGAGAACCAAGAACACTGGGGATGATTTCTCCATCCCTGCAGGCCGTCAGCCAGAGCCTGGGGGATCGCCCGTCAGAGAAAACAGGAGTTTCCTGCATGACTGGAGGTCTCTGGAGGAGGCCCCTGGCCTCTTCCTGGGCCCTGATCAACACCTCAATCTGTGCTTTGGGTACATGGAGCCGGGAGGGCCGGCCAACTCATCCAGTGACAGTCAGCAAACCAGAAGGGCCCAGAACCACAGACTCGGCTGGCACGAAAGGGGATGAATCCAATAAAATGAGCTGACTAGCAGCACGTGGAGAATCCTGACTTTGGACCAAAAACAGGAGCCCGGGACGGGGAAGCGTGGTGAGGCCCAGTCCATGCTGGCATAGCAAGTCATGTAGAAGCCCGGGGCCAGAAGGGGTGCCCGACATCAGGCGAGCGCGGGGTCTGGGCCTGGGGAGGTGACCCCCACCTGGGTCACGCATCTGAGAAAAGCCTTGGGAGCTGGCAGGCAGCCAGTGGGGCGACGGTCACGGCGGCAGGGACCCAGAGGGCGCCCTGTGCAGACTGGCTGACCCCAGATCTGGCGGAAGAGGGCCTAGAGGGTCCTGCTGGGCTCCAGGGAGCAGATGGAGAAGCGGGGGGAGGGGGAGCTCCAGAGAGAAAGAGGCTTCTCCCGCTGAGTGGTCCCATCGTGGGACGCCTCAGAGGGAGGGAGTTCTCCTTCCCCGAGAGATGCCACGCAGAGGCTGCACGACCGCCCGGGAGGGCCAGGCCACGCTCCTGCCTCTGAGGCCCCTTTCAGCTCGGGACTCTGCTTATAAACTCGGCTCTAAGTCACCAACCACGGTTTGGACCCTCAGAAGAGATGCAAGAGATACAGCAAACATAAAAGAACCGAGCTCCCTCACGGTGTCTGATCAGCGTTAGGGCCACATTCGGGAATCACTGGTTAGACGACTAGCTGGACGGACAAATGAATGAATGACGGGACAGAGGACTGGATGGAGAGATGGAGGGACAGATAAGTGAATGAACGACAGGACAGAAGTACGGATGAAAGCCTGGATGGACGGATGGAACAACACAAGGATAAATCAATGGCTGGATGGATGGATGGAAGGTTGGGTGAATTGGCAGCAACACGGTTAACAAAGGAGTAACAGAATCCTTGCTCCCCACCAAAAGGCCCTGGGCCTAACCCTAACCCTAACCCTAACTGCGCTCCCCAGACGACCTCAGGCAGAATCAGGAACAACCCACTTACAATGAAGGCAATAGCAGAGGTGTAGACAGAATGCCAGTCAGACAAGGCAGAGAGATTCCTCACAAAGCTTGTGACGGGCTTGGCTCCGCGTTCTGGGAAGAGAGCACAAGCGCCCTCCCGGTCAGGCCCCGTCTCCCCGTCGCCCCCTCCCACGGGCGCTCTTCAAAGGACACAGTCAGCCGTAGCCAAAAACTCCTGAGTAGACAGCTGAGGTGCAGCCAAGCCCAGGGCCTCACACTCACTCAATGGAAGAGAAAGCCGGGCCAAGCCACCGAGCGAGTCTTTGTCTGGTCCCGGGGGCTGCCCCCTTCTCTCTCCCTGCCTGTGTGCACAGAGATGAGGGCTCTGCAGGGGCCCCAGCCAGTGCTTCCCAGCTCCTGTCTGGCTGCTGCAGCCAGGATCGATAACGTTCAGGGGAGGGAGGGGGCATCATGGTGCACTGGCCAGAGTGTGAAACTGAGGACCAGAGCCCTGGGTTCTGGTCTAAGCCCTGGCCCTCCATGGTTGTATGGCATTGGGCGAGTAAAAAAAAAAAACCAAAACCTCTGTGCCTCAGTTTCCCCCTCTGTAAGGGAGGGTGGATAACCCCCCTGGCATTCCCAACCTCCCAGAAAAGCTGGGAGGAATGCGCCCGCGTGATTCACAGAAATGGGCCTTCCTGTGTCACCAGGCAGTGGGGGAGCCCCCGAGGGGCCCTGTTCACAGCAGGTGAGCCGGGGCTCTCCTGGCCCCTCCCCCTCTGGGCAGGACCTGCTTCCCCTCCGCTCCTGTGGGCCTGGGAGCCCGCAGAGAACCCAGGGCCTCAGCCACACACACAGCTCAGTTCCTGGCTGCCAGCAGCCGGCCTGAGGCCGTGGGATCCGGAACCCGCTCATTCTCAGAAGCTACCGGGGTGGGGGGCTCTCGGTTTTGGTCAGGGAGGGAGCGGCCCGGCACTTACTCAGCCTCCTCATGTTTTCAGTTAACCTAGAAGAGAGAGAACGTCATTCAGTCCAGGCCGGGTGCCCAGGAGCGCCTCACTGAGGGGACCCGGGCCCTGGCTTCCAATCCCTCCAGGGCCAAGCAGATTCCTGGATGCAGGCGGGCCAGGCTGGGGCCGCAGGGGCGCCCCCAGGACGCACCACGCCCACTCGTCAGGAGGCTGACACAGTCCTCAGTGGTGCGTGCCTAGCAGAGGCAGCCAGGAAGGCCTGGGTTTGAATCCCACTTCTGCCCTGTCCTGGCTGGGTGACGGGGCAGATTTGGGAACCTCTTTGTGCCCCAGGCAACACCAGTCTAAAGCTAAGCCGCAGGCGAGGTGGCGATCTGCACAGAGGAGGGCACAACGTCCCCCTGGGCAATCCCAGGTCTGCCCCACCCCCAATTCCTTTCAGCACTTCCTAGATCTGAAGCTGTTCTCATGTGCTGAAGAGCCATGGCCCATCTTTGGGAAAGACCGCCCCGGAAACAGATGCCCAAGGAAGGCGGGGGGGGGGGGGGGAAGCCCCTGGGGAGGCAGGACCAGCAGTCAGGGCCTCTGGGCTCAAACCCAGCTTGCTGCTCTATCTCTGTGCTCCTACCGGCTCTGTGCCTCAGTTTCCTCACCTAGAAAAAGGGGATTCAAAGTCCCTTCCAGCTCTAACCCTATGATCCCTCAATAGAAAAAAGCCTGAGGATTCCTCCTCTGGTCCAAGCGGCTCCAGCGATCTTGGTCCCACTGAGCACAGAGGCCGCCTGCTGCCGGTGCCCACGATGGCATCGGGGTGGGGGTGGGGTACCTTCTGGCGCTCAGCGGCTCCTCGGTTTCCACCGTGCTTTCTTCAGGCTGAAAGCGGAAATCTTCCACGTATTCCCCAAACCTGTCGTAGAACCACTTCTGCACCCGAGAGCGCATCATCTGGCTGCGTTTATCTGGGAGGAGCCGGGAAAACAAGGAAGGGTAAATGTGGGGCGAAACCAGGGTGGGGCAGCTCTCTCCAGGGACCGGGGCCCGAATATGGGCTGGGGAGAGGGACAGAGAGAGAGTGTGCTTGTGTGCGTGTGTGTGTGCAGGTGCGTGTGCGTGCGTGTGTGTGAGAGAGAGAGATACAGAAAGAGGAAAGAGAAAGAGAAAGAGAAAGGAAAGAGAGACAGAGAGAGAGAGAGAAAAAGAGACAGAGAGGGTGGAGAGGGAGAGAGAGCACACAGGAAAGGGGAACGAGACAGAAGAAAGGAAGGTGGGCAGCTAAGAAGATGGTACTCTGAGCACCGAACCACGCTGGCAGAGCCTCGCAGGGCAGCTTTCCTGAGGAACAGCCCCCAGGGGACCAAGAATGGGACTTCAAGGGCCCCCCAGAGATGCCTACACTTGTGCTAATCAGACTCACAAGACTAAAGGATGAAGCAGAACGGTCAATTATTCCTTTACAGGGCAGTTCTCTCCTCTGTAAAATCAGGCAGTTGGACAAGAAAATGAGGGCCTTTCCCGACTCTCCTGGTCAGCCCTGACATCCCATGTTCTCGGGCCCCTCCCTCCTCTGACATCCCATGTTCCAAGGTCCCTCGAAGCTCCAATATTCTGTTGCTCAGTGCCACATTATACTTTGGCTTACACGGGTCACACTCTGGTTGTGGTGGACAGGGGGAGGAGCCCCGGGCCCGGGCTATGCACCTTTTGCGGGCACGAACCCTGAACCCACCAGCCCTGTGTGCCGAGTGCAAGTGCAGACAGGATCAGTCCTGTTTGGGGAAAGGCCATGCTGACACGCACCTGAGCCGTGGTTGGCCTGTGTCGTCACCGGTCCCTTGGGGGGCTGCTGGGGGGGTGCCTCCTCGGCCCTGTTGGGGGCAGAGAAGGAGCGCTTAGTAGGAGGCTTCCGCAGCTTCTCACACACAAGGCCTAACACTGTGACCGTGGGCAAGGTCACTTCCCTGGGGGGCGTTTCCTCATCAGGAGGAGAGGGTCAGCCTCAATGCCCTTCCCATTCCGGTCTCCAACCAAGTAGGCAGAGCAATGCCTTTGTTATATAGAGATGTTTGTTGTAAAGGTAGCAGTGCCTAGCGGCACATCACTTACAGAGTGAAGTCAGAACTTGAGAGGCAATGGGGTTTGGCCAGGAGGGCAAAGGGAAAGAGCACAAGCATTTATTGAGTGCCTACTGGGTGCAAGGCACTGTGCTAAGCATCTTACAACCATGACTCATTTAACAGATCACTAGGACTGCAGTCAAAGTTCTGAGTTCAAGACCTGTCAGTGGTGAGGCTGTGTACAGGTCTCTGAACCTCTCCCCCCCAGGGCCTCAGTTGCCCAAATCCACCCACAAACAAGGGGCACGGCCCTGCCCCACCTCAGGGGCTGCTGAGGGGAAAGGGATTCAGGGCCTCCCAGGACCGGGAGAAATGGGCTCCATTATCAGGGGAAGAAGTGAAGAGAAAGCCCTCCTCCGCCCCGCCCTCATCCTCCCCTCCCCCCAGGCCAGCACACAGCTTTCCCTGCTTTATTAACCAGGCTCCATGTCTGAGAAAGGAAGATGTGGGACTGGAGGGTGGCTGCCAGCTGGCACTGCTGCCTGGGCAGCCCTGAGCCCACCGGGGAGGGACTTAGACTCTGCCAATCAGCAGGGCCTGCTCCCTCCTGGGCACAAAAGCTCTGAGCTGCATCCAGGCCAGCCCACATCAGAACACCCATCTCCTTTGCAAAACAGACACTGGGCGCCTACTGTGTGCCGGGCACCAGGCTGAGCACTCGGGATACGGGGCCAGGCAAAGACTCGGAGCCTGCCCTCTGGGAGCCCTGGTCTGCCAGAGGTCCTGGATGCTGGTCACCTTAGAGCGTTAGCCGCAGGGGAATGGAAAGGGACTTTCCCATGGTCACAAAGGAGCGAGGCCAGCTCTTTGGGGCCACCCAGGCTCTTACTCAGCAAGGCCGCTGCTTCCTCAGGCCAGGACCTCAACCTCCCTTCCTCACCCCTCACCCAAACTGCCCACCAGGCCATGGGGGAAGCTGGACATTCAGTACATTGGGATGTGCTCTGGGTGATCACTGCACCAGCACAGATAGCCACCCCTGCACGACTCGGCACCCCGGGCTGAGGCCCAGAGTTACCCTTGGCCTCCAGGAGCCTAACAAGGCGAGCCCTCAGGCCCCCACGGCCCTGGACTGCCAGCCGTGGCCCCACCCACCGAGCCTGTCCCCGCCCCTTGGGGAGGGCTACGCTGAAGGCCTTCCCCTGCTGAGAAGCGCCCAGCTCCACACATAAAACAGGAGCTGCGCCTTCAGGGAGGTCCCTAAACAGAAGGGATTCCGTAAGAACAGCTCCTGGGTCTGTCTCCCCCCCGTCCCTGCACGCATGTTGAGGGCTGTGCCCCGGCGCTGGGGGTGGGGGTGGGGTGCCACCCCAAGGCCACTCAAACGCTCCCAGAGCAGCTCAGTGCAGAAGGCAGAGAGCTGGGCAGTGCAGAGCCTTTGGCCAAGTCACTTCTGTCTGTCTGGGCCTCAGTCTCCTCTCCTGTAAAACGAGGGGGTTGGACAACATGACCCAGCCCCGCCATCCCATGAACAAAGCGAGCCTTTACTAAACACTCAGCCCTTGTCCTCAGGGGGATTCCAGTCTAACAGAGAAGGGACAGAGCCCAGGCCAGCGGTTCTTAACACGGGTCTGCGGCCTTGCCTTTGTTTTCGCATGGTGACTGTGCCGGCCCTCTTTCACAATAGCTAGTTTCCTTCTGAATCAGGGCAGGGGTCCCTGGACCCCATCAGACCGCCGCCCAGAGGGGTCCAGGACTCAAAAAGGTCAAGCGTAAAGATCGAAGTGGAATGAAATGTTTCCCTCTCTTACCTTTCCACCCCCACTGCAAACAAAGAAATCTGCGCAGCCAAGCAAAGCAAAGCCCTTCAAACCGCGTCTCATTTAGGGGCAGCTTGGTGGTGTGGAGAGTTCAAATCCGGCCTCAGACACTCCCTAGTTGTGTGACCCTGGGCAAGTCCCTTCCCCTCTGTCTGCCTCGGTTTCCTCCTCTGTAAAGTGGGGATAACAGCAGCCCCCACCTCCTAGGGTTGTTGTGGGGATCCAATGAGGTAATATTTGTGAAGCGCTCGGCCCAGTGCCTGGCACATAGTAGGTGCTATTACGATGATCCCATCCCTGCAGCGAGGCAGGACCGTGAACACTGGACCAGGAGTCAGGAGGCCCAGCCCGTCTCCTCTCACCCCTCTGGGCCAGTAAACGAGGCCATCAGGTCCCAGCTTGTGCATATGTGGACGCACCAAGGGAGAAATAAAGGGCACAAGCGCGTGAGGCCCGAAAGGCCCTCGGAGACCAAGGCCCTCACCTCACTGCACAGACGGCCGCTGCTGTCTCTTTTCTTTTAGATGTTGGTGCTGAAAACACTTTTTTGAAAATGAAAATTAAGCCACCCGTGAAATGTCCCCTTAGCAGATGTGAGGAAGGGCTGGCTAGGATCCAGATTAATCTCACAGAAGCAGCCAGCGGGGCAGCTCTGGTCTCAGGTGGGCCTCTTGCTCAACAATGGCCCAAAGAGACGGGGCTTCCCACCGAGGCCGACTCGACGGGAATTCCTGGGCGGCTTCTGGTGTGCCCGTCTCCTCACGGGAGGGCGCTGGAAGCAGCGGCCCAGGACAGGGCAGGTCCTCGGCCAGGTCTGAGCCCGCGTCTCTGACCGCAAACCCAGGGCTCTCTCCTCTGTGCTGGGCGGCCAGAAGGGTCATTCCTGAGGACCGGGGGCACAGCGTCCAGCTTCGGGTCTGAGCTTCTCGGGAGCTGCTGTGTCTGGGTCTGGGCCCAGGCTGGGGCAGCTGGGGCATGACAACTGTGAGCTGAGTCAGCACCAGAGCCAGGGACAGCGCCAGGTGGTGGCCGCAGAGCTGGCCGGGCTGCCAGGGAGTGGGGCTCGCGCCGGGGAGGGGGTGGCGAAGGAAGGGAAAGGACTGGGATGAGTTTTTATAAAGCCCCTACTATGTGCCAGGCTCTGAGCACTTCTCACAACCACCCTGGGAGGTAGGTGTGTTATTATCTCCTTGTTGTTGAGAAAGCTGAGCTAACAAAAAAGTTAAGTGACTTGGCCAGGGTCACACAGACAGTGTCTGGGGCTGGATTTGTTCAGGGCTTCCTGACTGCAGGCCCAGCACTCTACCCACTACAGTCTGAGGAGGAAGAAGGGTGGCCCTCCCCACCGGGGGAGGAGCGGCTCCTTCCCAGTTGAGGTTGTCTGGATGCCCAAGGGGCCTCCCTCGGGGTTTCGCAGGCTGCCGATCCCTGGGGGCCCCCAGCTCCTGCTGGGAGAGTTCCGGGCGGGGAGCCCCTCCCCCCACGCCCCCCGGCCCTGCCCTTGCCTGGTTTTCAGGATCTCCTGGAATCTCTGCTCCAGGTCGAGTCGCCGCTGCCGCTCCTTCTCCAGCTCCTGCTTCAGCATCTCGGCGTTGGTCTCCTCTCTCAGCTTCCGGAGTTCCTCTTCTGTTGGGGGAGAGGCAGGAAGTGAGCTCCCCGCTGGCCCGCTGGGCCTCTCCTTCCCCCAGAAGCAGCCTGGGAACGGGACGTGCGCCCCAGACGGGCGGACCTGGGACCGAGGCAGTGATGCCCGTAAGGACCCCCAAACATTGTGACCTGGGAGCCCCTGGCGCTTCATACGCCCCACAGCTCCGGGGATCTCAGAGTGCATTCGCTCACTCGCTCACCAAACATTCCGACGTGCTGCACTCCCCCAAGGACGCCGCCCCGCGGCCACCTTACTAGACTAACAATGGTGTCACCCATCGTGGTCCTGTGCCTTTCTGCCTCCAGTGGCTGGGCTTCCTCGGATGGAGTGGGCTCCGCACAGGGCCATGGGGGCTGGGCCTCGCCAGTGTGACACGCACTGTGAGCCAGCCTGCTGCTCATACGCACGGTGACCTCCACATATACCGCGAAAGGACAGGGGACCACGGGACCAGAGATTTATGGGCATGGAGTCCTTCACTAGGACGTGTGCACGCTAGCTAAGGGGCCAGCCCAGAGGCCAGCGGGCCAGGCAGGTGTTTCTGGGGGTAGAAGCTTGGTGTCAGGCCACGGGAACACCAGGGCTCTCACCCAGGGGCCACAGTCATCAGACAAGTGCAAGAGAGCACAGCAATAGAGGGTTTGGAACCAGAGGGCCTGGGTTCAAGGCTGCAACTTGGAAGCTTACCCCCTTTCTTCCCTGAACCTCAGTTTCCCCTTCTGTTGAACTCTGGTCTCTAAGTTCCCTCCCAGCGCTTGTGGTCAAAGCATCTGCTCTAGGCTGAGGAGGGAGAGAGTGAGTGAAACATGGCAGGCCAGCCTGGTGGGGGTGGTCTGCCTACCAGGAGCCCTGGCACTGCCTCTGAGCCCAGCTGGGATTTGAACCCAGGTCTTCTAGCTTCTCTCTTCTCCCCAGGGCAGACTGCCAAGAGCTGGACTCAAAACAGAAGCTGTGGAGCCCTGCTACTATGAGCATCAGTTTCCTCATCTGTGAAATGCAGCAGCAGTCTCCGGGCCAGGGATGGGCCACCTTGACACAGCTGGCCAGTGAGCCCCGGGAGCAGTATCCACAGGCCCCCCACTGTCTCTGGCAGGCTTTCCCCCTCTGCCTGCACAGTCAGGCTGTGGCCTCTCTCATCCTTGACCAGGGCCCTACGAGGGAGCAGGAAATACATTCCTGGGCTCCCATGCAGAGCCCCAGAAAGGGCCTGGGACACGGAACATGTGGCTGGGCAGCGTTTCTCCCCTTGTCTTGTTAGCTGGGTGGGCTTGGCTCCCGTGGGCTGGTGAGCAAGGGGAAATGGGGCCCTCTCTCAGTCGACGTCGAGGACAGCAGGCCCTTCCTGGACCCCAGCCCAACAACCACCCTCTCTCCAGAGGGCAGAACTCAAAACCCAAACCCCACCAAGTGCCGGGTGCAGCGTGGGGAGGCAGCCAGGCCGAGGCTGAGCTGGGGGAGGAGGGCAGGGCACAGGAGGCACCGCAGGGTGACTGGAGGACCCCTCTGTCAAAGGGCTGTGGTAAGGACGGAATTTTATAAACGTCTGCTGTGAGTGACAGCACGATAGCACGTGAGAAATAAAATGGGTCCTGGCTGCCGGGGAGGCCTCACAGCTACCTCTGCTCTTCTGAAATCCTCATCCAGCACACCCAGTGACTCTGGCGACCAGGGGAGGCGTGGTACTCCTCCCCCCATCCTCAGTTTCCCCATCTGTAAAGTTCCAGGCGAGGAAGCGGAGGCCCAGCCCAGATGGGTCATGCTGGACTTTCGTTATCCTTCCTCCTCATTGTGGTTTTTAGCTCATTCACATCTCGGCTTCCCGAGATGAGACAGCCATTGGGAATGCCACAGCCTCCTGAGTGAGTAAGCCGGGAAATTGAGATTATTTTCAGAGTAAATAGGCCTCCCTCCCAGCCCCCAACGAGTAAATGCCAACTGCTCTAGGCACTCAGGCCTGCCAGGATCCACACCAGTGAACCAAGGAAACTGGCCCACAGCCTTTGGACTCTGTGCCAGGGCCACCAGCAGCATTCCCAGGGAGCCCCAGCCCCCCTGGGCACCCAGGGGCCAGGGCAGCAGGCCAGGTTTCCACATCAGCATCCGGGAAAGTCCAGCCTGGGAAAATAAGCCTCAGTGGCTTCCAGGAGACAGGAGCTCAGGGAACTATGTTCTCTAACAAGGTCATGGGAGCAGAGCAGGAAGCGATCTCAGAGCCCAAGCCCTTCTGACAGCGGAGGAAACTGAGGCCCAGGCCAGGTCACCCATCTAAGAAGTGCTGGCACTGCCAGGTTCTCTGCTCCACAACCCGGGGGCCCTTTCTTAGCCCCAGTGGCCCCCCAGTAGTGATGTCCCCAAATCCTGCTTCTGCAGAGCTCTCCTTCCTGGGCTGCTCCCAGAACTCCCTGTGGGCCCCCTCTCCTCCTGACTCGCTGTCCGTGCCCAAATCACCCCACATTCCTGGGCCACACTGAAAGGCACCAGCCGTGAATGTCCCTCCTAGGTCTCCTCCTCTTCTCTCTGCCCTGACCCCCCTTCCCCAGCCCCTCTGTCCATGTCTCCTCCCCCTGTTCCTGGGCCCCTCACCCTCCCTCACAAGACACGGGCTCTCTGCCCCCTCTGGGGGTGGTCTGTGCCCTGGGTCTCATAGGGCCCTCTCTCCAGACTCGAGGCAGTTAACCAGGGCTTAGTACCCAAATTCAGCACCCCAGGTTTTCAGGACAGCTCTGAGCGAGCCCCCTTCAATGGCCAGTCCTTAGGAAGCCAGGCCTTCCCACTCCCCACTGGATGCCCTAATGGTGGTAAACCTGGGTTTTGATTGACATCTCTGGTGTTTATGTCACCCACATTTCACTCCGTAGCCACCTCCCCCCCAGCACTTGAGAGAATTATTCAAAGGAAGAGAACAACCCAGTATACCCAAGTGACCCTTCCCAAAGCCTCCTCCACTAGGAAGCCTTCCTTCAAGCGTCCTCTGAGCTGCCAGGGTGCCCTGTCCCCCTCTGACGGGTCTTTCGGGCAATGCCGGGTCTCAAGTCATTCTCTAGACTTGCATCTGGTCTACCAGAGACTGGCAGCTCTGTGAGGGTGGGGGCCTCCCCCTATGCCTGGCACAGAGATTGGCCTGGGAGCTGAGCTGGGATCTAAGATTATGGAGATGAACCCCGGCCTCAGCGTCAGCCTGTAAAGTGCCCACAAACCCACAAGCCTGGCAAGATAGGGACTCTTGGCCCCCACCCCAGTGCCAGCCTGCCCCCACACAGGGCATGTGCAGAAGCAGGACAGAGACCTCTTGCAGTTCCAACTGCAAGGACTGTCATCCCATTTTACAGATGAGGAAACTGAGGCTGGGAAAGGGAGGATGTGACTTTCCTAAGGTTAGCAAGCCTGTAAGTGGCAGAGCCTAGCCATGAACACATGACTCCTGGTGTGTAAAAGACACACACACACACACACTACTAAGTGTCCCTCTCATGGCTTGGCCCCCCAGGAGAGCTCAGGCTGGTACAGAGGCTGGGCACTGAGCCCCTCCAAGCCCTCTCCTCCTCCCCATGGGGATCTGACAGCCCCAGCCCCGCAGCGGATGGGGCTCCCCTGGAGGCTGGCCATGGCTCCCAGGCTCTGCCTGGAGAGATGATTACGCCCTCCATTCCCATCTTTGCTGAGATCGGCCATTAGCAGCTTCTCTCCTCCCCTCTCAGTGACAGATTGAGGTCAATTACAGCACTGAATATGTCCCCTGCTTTGCACAGGACAAAGGCAGTAAAGTCCCCCGTCATCAACTTCCCTCTCTCCGATGACGGGAGGGAAAGAGATGGGGTGGCCAATTTTCAGACAATTGAAGAGAAGTGAGTGTTTCCAATGGAAACCTCATTTCTCCCAGCCCCAGCTTGAGCCAGGGGATGGCTATCGGCATGCCGAACGCGGCTGGGGAACAGGACCTCCCGCCAGGCTGGTCTCCTGAGCCTGCAGGACCTGCCAGGGTCCCTCCCGCCCGTGGCCCTCGAATGCCTCTCTGAACTTGAACCTGCCCCCATCCAGTGCCCCCTCTCCCTTCCAAGCTGCTCTGCCAACTCTGCCCTCCCAGCTCCAGCTTCAGCCCCCCAGTAGGACATGCCTGCCCCTGAGCTGGGTCACTGCTAACGGGCAATTTGCGAATCTCTCCTGTTAACCCGTCTCTGGCTGGGACTGGCTGTTTTCACCTCATCCCCCTTGTTAGAACTTGCCCTCGGCTTCTCTGAATTAATTCCTCATAGCTCACTAATGAGCTGAACTGGCAGCTCCCAGACGGTGGTCCTTGAGGTCAAGACAATTTTCATAACAACAGAAAGATGTCCTAATGTCAGATCTGGTAAATGCCAGTAGATAGAACTCCCATAAACAAAAGCTCCTTAATACTTTGAAAGAGTACAATGGGGTCCTGAAACTGAAAGTCAGAGCACGCCGCTACCACCTGTCTTGGTTAGATGCTCCCCAATCGCTTCAGTTCTTTGCTACCAGAAAAGGGGCTGCTCTCCCTATTTGGGGTACATAGTTTTGAAAATATTTTATGTTTTTGACCTCCTTGGGGGTATATAATAGCAGTGGGATCTCTGGGCAGAGGGGCACAGACATTTCTGTCATTTGATTCGCCTAATTCCAGACGGTTTTCCAAAATGCTCGTACCAACTTGCAGCTCCACCAATAATGCATGGGTATCCCTAGCTTTCCACAGTCTGTCGGGCATTGACTATTACCTGTCTTTTGTCATCTCTGCTAATTTTCAAATGAAAGCCTCAGGCTTGTTTGGATGAGAGATGGGGAGCATTCTTGTTTGTAATTCTTTTGTGAACACTTTGGATCCTTTAAGGACTGACTCACTGTTCAGCTTTCCCTACTGGTCTGGGCCGTCTATGTTTCTGCTAGCTGCCCATGCAGCTTGGACATCAGCTGAGCAGGGATCCTTGCAGAGGAAGATTCCCCCCTCTGGCTCCAGTCTTAG